TGGTGAATTATGCAAGAAGATATCTATAATAAAACAATTGGATCTATCTTGTTGTCAACATCCCGTTCTTCTTCAGCTGGCAAGAGAACAGCTCAGGCTGTTGCCCTGGAAAGAGCAAGCAGTGCCTGGGGAATTACTGAACTCAGCCTTTCCTGTAGTTACAGGGCCACATTGGAGGGCAACACAGAGCAGAGAGCGGCCTTAGTATGCTGGATAAAGGAAGATGGGTTTTAAAAGAGAAGTATGACATTTAGGACAGTAATAGTCTCCAGAATGGCAGGAAATCCCATATATGGAGCACTGAGAAGCTTGTGGCGAAAGAAGCATTGAAGAAATACCAAAGAAGGACTAATCCTTATCTGGAGCACAATGCACTTACATACATTCTGGTCCTGCTTTCATGTGTTTAGTTCAGCAGTGCTCTGTTTATGCAGCTAAACCTCCTGCATGGGGAGATACATGGAGAATTTAATGCACCCAACTTTGCAAAGCTCTGTGGGAAGTGACCAGTTTACATCACATACCTAATTGTCAGGTTTTCATTTCAATTGGCAGGATTTTAATTTAATAGCACAGCTTTCCCTAGATAACAGACCTCTTCTAGCCAGATACTCATTATGTGGGGTAATCTATAGAATCTGTTACCTCATTTATGGGTTAAGAGGCATTTTAAAATAGGAAGCTTAAGACAGCTCTCTCCCTTGTATTAGATATTGCAGATGTCTTTTGCTAAGCCATAACTAGCTTCCTCATCATTAATTTTTGGGGACTGTGCTTTGGAGACACTGTCTGGGAATTAAACAAAGCTCTTAACAAAAAGCTTTCCCATCTTATCTTGGCCTAGAAGGTCATTGTTCTCCAGGACTCCAGGATCTTGCACCTCCTAATTCCTGCAGGAAGACAGCTGCTCAGACCAAAAGAGTTACTGAGGGTCTGCAAAGCCTGAGGACTTTACCCTCCTACATTACTCTGGGAAGGGGGACAATATACTATGGAAAGCTGATATATTGGACTGGCAGAGAGTTGACCATGTTCCCATCAGTGTGTGCTGAGGACACCCATAAAGCTGTTCAGTTTAATATGAGGCTGAGAAACCAAACACTACCCACAGAAATGCTGTTGTGGTTTAACCCTGGTAGGCAGCCAAGCACCACACGTCCACTTGCTCACTCCCTCCTACTGGGGTGGGGGGGAGAGTTGGAGGGTAAAAGTGCTAGAACTTGCAGGTTGAAATAAAGACAGTTCCATAAGTAAAGCAAGAGCCACGTGCACAAGCAAAGCAAAAAGAAGGAATTCATTCACTACTTACCATTGGCAGGCAGATGTTCAGCCATCTCCAGAAATGCAGAGTTTCATCATGTGTAACAGTTACTTGGGAAGACAAATGGCATAACCCTGGATGTCCCCTCCTCCTCCTTCTTCCTCCAGCTTTTATCACTGAACACATCATAGATGGAATATCCCCTGGGGACATTTGGAGTCAGCTGTTCCAGCTGTGTCCTCTCCAAGCTTCCTGTGCTCCCTCAGTGCACTCACTTGACATTGAACATGCACTATTCAGCAATAACCGAAACATCACTGTATTATCAAGACTGTTTCCATCACAAACCCAAAACATAGCACCTTACAAGCTACTACGAAGAAAATTAACTGTTCCAGCCAAAACCAGTACAGCTCCACGAAGCCAGCTTTTCAAGGCTCTATCTACATCTTTAACTACAGCAAGACCATAAACAGTGGCAGGATGCAAGTGAGAGTGGTTAAAGGTGATCAAAATGTGGATCAGCTCCTTGGCAACCAGTTGAATCACCCTTTACTGCACCTTCCAGCATCAGGCTTTCCCCAAGTCACAGTTTAATAGAAATATGGATGAGTCCTTGCGAGCGTACCCCTTGCCCAAGAGTGAATGTCACACAGCGCTGTGCAGAACTGCCTTGAACACAGGAGCATTTCACAGCAGGCCAGGGAAGGGTGGTAGCATATGATTTATGGTGACAGAAAAGGAGTGACTGTGGTGCCTGCTAGAAGTTTCTTGGGGAATGGCATGCAACACAACCATGCTTCCAGGCACTGCAACACATAGAATCATAGAATCATAGAATGGTTTGGATTGGAAGGGACCTTAAAGATCATCCAGTTCCAACCCCCCCTGCCAGCAGCAGGGACACCTTCCACTAGACCAGGTTGCTCAAAGCCTCATCCAGCCTGGCCTTCAACATTTCCAGGGAGGAGCAGCCACAACTTCCTTGGGCAACCTGTTCCAGTGTCTCACCACCCTCACAGTGAAGAATTTCTTCCTAATATCTCATCTAAACCTCCCCTCTTTCAGCTTAAACCCATTTCCCCTTGTTTTGCCATTAACTGCCCTTATGAAAAGTCCCTCCCCAGCTTTCTTGTAGCCCCTTCAGGTACTGGGAGGCCGCTATAAGATCTCCCCAGAGCCTTCTCTTCTCCAGGCTGAACAGCCCCAACTCTCTCAGCCTGGCCTCACAGCAGAGCTGCTCCAGCCCTCGCATCATCCTCGTGGCCTCCTCTGGACTTGTTCTAACTGGTCCATGTCTTTCTTATGTTGGGGGCTCCAGAACTGGATGCAGTATTCCAGGTGGGGCCTTACATGCAGTACAGTAGGGCTCAGAGAGGGACATCGGCATTGTTCCTTCCTGGATTTTAGCTTTTTGGTTCTTAGGGGATTTCATACTTTATCTGCCTCTTTAGGATGCTCTGGCTGAGGAACAAATAGTCTGTTGAAACCTCTTGATTAATAGGCCTCTCTGGAAAGGTTTCTCTGTAGAGCTCTCCAGTGATGCTGGTGGGCCCCTGTTCATTGAGACACAGCAACGGGCTTGGCCCAGGTTTTGGAGGAACTCTTCACAGGATCCCCAAAGTGCTCTTCAGGGTGGGCTTGGTGACCTATGGCAGGTCAGAGTGGGTTCAGCATGATACAGCAAGTAATCCCCAGATACTCTTTGTGGTTTGTATGTGAGCATCTCACCCACAGTCCTTCCGAGATACACTCCACTGTCCTGAGCATTGCACAGGCACCATAGCTGCATTTCAGGCCAACAGAGCATCTTGTACTGCTGCTGCTTGTCCCAGCTGCAGTACATTGCTGGGAAACCCAGAAGACATGGTACATGGGATACACTGCCCTTGCAACCCACTACTCTTTCCTGCCTACTGGTGTGCAAGAACTCTTGTGATGCTGAGCTCCAAACTCAGCTGGGAAGCCTAATTTCTAACCTGGAGTCAGATCCTCCTCCCATGGTTGCAGTGGCCATACCCCAGGCTGATCAAGTGCAGTTCTTCTCATTTGTCTAGAAGTCATACATCGTGATCTGAGCCTCTCCCTCCATTTCTTCACAGTGAATGCAGGGAAAGGAGAGACAGATCTGACTGATCTTTGATAACAAATGCAGGATGAGGTTGGAGGACCAAGTCCCTCATGGAGTGTCCGGGCAGCTCAAGGTCACTCACTCAGACCTGCAGGTCTCTCCAGGCTGTGGACTCTCACTCTGTGGACCCCATGGCTGCCTGGAAAAAGGATCCCGGAAGTTTCAATGCCACCATGTAGGCAGTGGGAATAGAGTTGGCTGGTGATCCTCCCCTTTCCCCAGTTGGTGCTAAACACCTGAGTCCATTCAGGGCCAACTCTGGTGAATGGGCACCTCTCAAGATGAGGCAGTGTTTGGCAAGGTGCTCATTGACTTTGGGGATTAATCTGAGCAACAGGGTTTGCAGTGTTCCAAAGCAGGGTCACAGTCTCTGCTGGAGACCTGAGTCTGGACATGAGATTGTAACCTGGCATTGGGTTAGGGTAGGAAAGTTTGGGGGATGCTAATTCCGCTGAGACCATGTCCTCTGCACATCTGCCGTCTTCCCCTTCCTCCCTGCTGACACACGGACACCTGCAGTGAGCTCAGAGACAGCAGGAAACCCCACAGATGAAAAACCCAGGGCTGCTTGCATGGTGAGGGGCAGGAGGGTACTGTGCACAGCAAATCTGGACAGACGGAAGGTCCTCTGCTGTGCAGTGAAGCACTGCAGATGGTCCAGAGTGCGGCACAGCTCCCTTTCCCCAGGCAGCCTGACTTCTCACATCACCCAGCTCCCAGGTGCTCAGGTTCTGCAGGCCAGAGCGATGCTCTGTGTGTCTGGTTCATTACGATCGTGTGCAGCTCAGTCATCTCTCCCTGGGCTTTCTGCTCTGAAAAAACACATCAGTTCTCACCCACTGCATCCGGAATTGCAACTGCCCAAGCGGCTGCGTTTGCCCCAGCTGGCCCTGCCCACACTCGCCATGCAGTGAGCAAACATGTGAGACAGGCCTCCAGGAAACTTCTAGGAACTAGTCCAGGAATAATTAATTTTATTAGTAAATTTCTACCATTATGAAACATCGGTCTAATATTTCTTAAATAATCTTAATCTTAGTCTTAAATAATCCCTGTGCTGTATTTTTACTGATGATTAGATTAAGCACATTGGATATTAACACTATTTTTAATGTTTCTAAAATGTACAGGAATATTAGCAAGAAAGAGTTCACATCCACAACACCGGCTGCTCCCCCAGCTTTCGGCGTTACATATAGGACACAGAAACACTCAGGTATAGAAAAGAACGAGGTCTAAAGAATTTCACAGGTCACTGAACTATCTGAGGATATTGGAGAAGGTCATTTTAAAACTACTTTGAATCAAGAAAGAGAAATAAACATTAAATTCAGATTTGAGCTTAGCACTCTCCGGGTTGTGGGTTGGGATCTTCCAGCGCAGCAGTGTAGGAATTACAGGATGTTGATTTACTGCAATAAATTGATTTACAAGAAACTGGTCCATGTATCCCTCTGCACCTCTGTCACCTCCTTGCAGACTCCATTTAGGTAAAGTGTCCTGTACCCAGGGAGACAGAGCTTGGCTTCAAGCTCAGGATATTATTTTTTTAATTGTCTGAGAAAGACATCATTAGGGATTTGCAAATGAGCTGCTCTGCTGGTGAGCCTAGACCTGTAGCAGCAACGCCACACCAGCGAGCACCCACTTGGAAGGGTTTTCTCTGGTTTTAAGGTTAAAAGTCCACACATAAGTTGGCCCTCTCTGGCGTGTTTTGTATACAGGACATGGGTACATACTACGGGTATCTTGTTTGTCAGCAGGTTTTTAATGGCTTTGATGAAAATGACAGGCATGGCTGGGGTCAGTTCCTTCAGCCTGGCTTCTGTGATCAGTCCGCTCTACAAAGGAAAGAAGACAAAGTCGTAGTTAGATTTCCAAGATCCTTGGGAGAAGCCTTCAGCTGTACCCCAACACGAATGATCCTCTGTAATGTTCAGACAAGCTGTATTTATTGGGCAAGTGCAAGCAGCTTCCCTTAGATCAAGGAGGTGGATGAGACTATTTGAGGTAAGGAGGGTCTAGATCCAACACCTATCTTGTTTCATCAGAAGCCTCCCTCAAGCATGGCTTATTCCAAGGGACACATACAGATGTCTGTTCTCACCAGATGCCCAAACCCACACACATCTCAGCTGGACTTTTCAGGGGAACAATGTTCCTGCCTATGTCCAGCCACAGCATCCTCGTGCTACTCTTAAGTCAAGGTTTTGTCAGTTGAGAACCACCTCATGGGAAGAGTTGCTTATGCTAGGACCAGTAGTTGACACCTGCACAGGGCTCAGGATGGAGAACAATGCTCAACTGAGAGGAGTCTAAAAGGCACTAAGTAAGTCTCCCACCACATCACCAAAATTGGAGCATGACCTGGGATACGCTTGTCTGTGCGATGAATGCACTCAACGTTTTGTGTGGCCCCAAAAGGCACCACAGGCTTGTTTCCACTCCCACAGCTGCTCACACCAAGAGGGATTTATAAGGTCTATTCCTGAAGGAATATTATCATTAAATAGCAAGTTCACATTATGGTCTTCAAAAGCAATGCTCTCGCTCAGCAGGCAGCCCAACCCAGGAGAAGGACGGTATGCTGCCAGCTTGCATACCAGCTTGTTTCTCTAACTTGGGTATCTCTGGCAATTTCTGTTTCTCTTTCTGACAATAAAATGTCCTACACATCAATCAGTTTCCAGGAAAGCTTGAAAAATTGCTTAATGGAAGTTAGAGAGACCAAATGAAAACAAATATAAAAATGGAAATAAAAATTTCTCTAGAAAAACTGCTCAAGAAACTGCATCTCACTGCAGCTTAGCTTCATATATCATTATTATTTCAAATGCTCTTAGATCAGACTTGTGGGATGAGATTCAGCCTCTCTAGTAGTTTATTTAGTTCTGCAAATGAGTGAAGAAAAATAATCCCTCTTGCGACACACCTCGGTTTAATTGTACTAATGCCATCTGTTATACTAAGCTGTGATAAATCCAACTGTGATTTAGGATTTTATATTTCCAACGTGCTGAACAAACATTAAATAATTCTTGTAATAGCTCGAAAAGCAGCTATTTATCAAGCATTATTATGTGCTCTTTTTAAATCCACATCTTTCAGTTCTGAGGCTGGATTTTGATCTGATCTCTTTTTTTACTCCTGACAATTTTTCAAATCAAATTTCCAAGATATATTCTACCCATTTCTGGATTAACAAGAGTTGAAATCTTCCTGAGATATCTCTGTGGAACATATCATTGTGTTCTGTCTGGGCTGATTTGCATTTGCATTTTTTTATTGGTCTCATCATTAGAAATTAATTTGACTCTGAAAGCAATTTTCCCTAACTACTGGCACAGCACACCTGGTAAAAAGCCATTGTTCTGTGCTTAGAGAGCTCGGGCCTCAGGTGCTAAAGAATTCTTCACTTCTGCTTGTCCTGGCTTCTCAACAGGCAGTTCCAAGAGTGAACATATTACACTGCCACATATTGATGAGTCCAAAGACACAAAACAGCTGTCACAAGCCAGGGATGGGCCAAATTACCTATGCAGTAATTCAACTGCACTCAACTGCATTTTGAAATGTTACTGGCACAAGAACATCTGCACCACAGCTAATTTAGGGTCAGTTGGCTTAAAGACCTTCAGCACAGCTTGGCTGTCTTTCAGATAGAGTTGCCTCTATTTGCAGGGAAGAGGGGCTGGTGATTGGAGCAAGTGTAGCCAGCAGGGAACATCACTCCAAGGTGATCCAGAGATTGCTGGGGTTAGTGGCTTCAACTGGACATGGGGAACAAGAAAAAGAGCCATTCATGGAGCACACAGTGAAGAAGACCTAGAGGAAGGACTTTTTATAAGGGCAGGTAGTGACAGAACAAGGGGAAATGGGTTTAAGCTGAGGGGAGGTTTAGATGAGATATTAGGAAGAAGTTCTTCACTGTGAGGGTGGTCAGACACTGGAATAGGTTGCCCAGAGAAGCTGTGGCTGCTCCTCCCTGAAAGTGTTCCAGGCAAGGCTGGATGAGGCTTTAAGCAACGTGGTCTAGTGGAAGGTGTCCCTGCTGCTGGCAGGGGGGTTGGAACTAGATGATCTTTAAGGTCCCTTCCAACCCAAACCATTCTATGATTCTATGTGCTGTCCAGTAAAGCCGAATGAGAGAGGAATTTTTATCACTGAGTAGTTTAAAAATTGACATATAGATGGAAAAGAGTTTTCCAAGTCATTTATTTTTCAAAATCACCTGTGCCATTCATAGCACAATTTGCAAGTGTGCCCTCCATGGTTGCATTGCAAGAGACCTCAGCTTGAGCCACATCCTACTCTTACTCTCATAGCTCACAAATACATGGGCACTACTGACACTTGACATCTGCAGGAAAAGGCTTCACGTGATGTCCCAGTTCACCCCTTCAGGAAACATTTTGATCTCTGACACATGAGATTTGATGTCCCTGGTGCCTCTGCAGAAGAATATAGTAAGCTGGGATGTTTGGGACTGTACCACCAGCAGTGGGCTGTGCCGGGGCTAGGTTGCACCCTGATTTCATCTGCATCTGCTGCTGAGAGCATCTCAGATGAAAATGAGTGGCATGCAACTGGTCCCAAAGATATCGAGCTACTTGAACTACTGTGACTATTCCTTGACAGGCAGATCTGCCCTTCTCAGCCTCTTTACTGGTTGAAGACTGGTGCTTTACAAAGCACACAGAAAGCGTACCTGTGGCTTGAAGGAGGCATGGTACCCTCAGTGTCAAGCCACTGCTGAGCACCTCTTGCATGGACAAGGTGGTGTGCTGTCCACACCTGGCAAAGCTTCGTGTGGCACATGTGGTGCAAAACCCACCTCTCCCTTTGTCCTGCCATGCTCCAGTGCCCTTGGTGAGTAACAGGGGACATACTTGGCATCAAACTCTCCATTGCTGGGAGCAAGAAAGCCAGGAATCAGTCAGAAAACTCCCATGACTTGAGATAAAATGTCCCATAGTGTCACCAGTCAAACGCTCTCTCACTGAGCCCCACTGACTTTAACAGCGCTACAGCAACAGATCATTTGGATCCAAAATAACCTCCTCGGTTTCATTTCATCTCACAGCTGCCTGCTGTTTTGTAATGAATGTTTTATAAATTTAAGACACCCAAGGGCAAACATAAATGTTTAAATAAGTAGAAAAATGTAATCAGAAGAACATAGAGGGACTTTTTCCTTTTTTGGAGGCACAATCTAAATGTGAAATATTCTTTTACAAGTGGAGGTGTTCCCCAGAGGAGTTCTTCTAAACAGGACCTGTCATTCCTAACAGAGGATTAATTTGGAATGAGCATCCAACCCCAAAAAATTGTGCACCTGTTTTAAAAGTGCTGCATCCATTAATATATACTGGTGCTCACTGGATTACAGGTAGAATGAACAGTTCCACTAGGTGGAAATGATATTTCAGTGGGAGCAGCAACATATGAAAATATTCTTTTCCATTCTGAAATAAATAATATTGGGCATCATGCCCATAATCTCTGGGCATCATGCCCAGAGATTATGAATGGTTCTATAAACATAGTTGCTCAGTATCTTTCAATCACAAGAAAAATATAAACAGAAAAACACATTTATGAAAGTCCGGGCGGCCTCTGAAGACAAACCTCATTGCTGAATGCAATCACCCAGATGAGTTACCGGAGGGAGGCAGAGGGGAGGAGCCATGTGATTCCAATAAGACTCCAAAACTTCTCACTATTCCCTTCCATTGCCACTTGGGAATGGGTAAAAGCTGGGCAGAACTCAGCCATTTTAACCATTATCTTTTCTAGGAGTGATGGTAAAGGGAAACACAACAGCAGGCACTGGAATCTGGTTTTAATGGAGCATTTGACACGCAAGACCAGATTTTTTTTTAAATCTTTCCCTGTACTTTTGTGTCCAGCTGATTTGGACCAGCTTCAAATGGCAGTTTTTGAGAGTGACTGAAATCCAGTGCTTCCTGTAGTAAGGGGTTGTGATCTCTAAGAGCTGCAGGGGCTTTGTACAGCAGCCACACCAAAGGCTTAGACAAGGGAATAGGCAGGGAACTGTAGGACCAGGGCTTGGGAAAGGGACTGGGCTGCTCTCTGTTCTGCTCCTGTGACTTCTGCTATTAGCAGAGCCAAAACCAGTGAGGCAGGAGATCTGACCTTATACCCACGTGGGATCTTTACTGCAACCTTCTGACAGAGCCTTTGCCAATGTTCCTGGCTGCCTGTGGCTTCCCAGATCCAGTGCACATGTCAAGCCATTTCCAGAGAGAAAGTGGAGCCTTGACCTTCCCAAGGATTTGTGACAAAATGCACTGGGTGCCATCAGTCAGTGAGTTCAAACTTTGCCTAATTTCCCATCCTGCATGGAAAACTCTTTCAGAGAGAGTGTGGAAAAATAAGTGGAAAGTATTAGATTTGAATTGCAAGGTCAGGCTGGGATATGGTACATAACAGACATGGCCTCTCTCCTCAGCATCCTACCACCAAGCCCCACAACAGATAAAGGAACATCTTCAAGGTTAGGAATCTAAAGAGCTGCCTCTGAAATAAGAGCCTCTGCTTGTGAGAGGGTAAACTTGACACAGACAAGTAAGTTCTGAGTGACCTACTTTGATCAGTCTTCACTCTCTCACAGGTCACTGGCAGCACGAGCATCACACTGGCTACCCTGAGTAAGAGCTGCATGAATCACTGTCACTTAATTCTCACAGGCAGCACAAACTGGGAGTCGTGGTTCCACCAGGCAACTCGGAGGACAAAGCCCCGTGGGGATTTGTCAGCCTAATGGCTCTTGCTCTGCAGACTGCTCTCCTAACAGCTGACAACTGTCAGAAGGAATGACAGGGACAATTGTGCTCCTCTGGGATGCTGCTCCGAGAGGTGCACTGTGAGAGGAGCGCTGACAGCTCTACAGGCAAGAAACAGCAAGGGTACAAGCTTCCCTCCTGCTGCCTGGTTGGTGGGTATGGTTCTTACCTTGGCTGCCCTGAGGCTGGCTGTGCTACTGAAAGGTTTCGGGCCCCATCCAGAAGGGGAAAGAAGAAGAGTAAGGACCACCCACACTGTTTGTCCAGGATCAGCTTACCCTCCCACCCCATCATGCTGAGTCATCAGCCTGAGTCCACATTGACTATGCAGGTTAGTTAGACCTTCACACAAGCTTTATTTGGCACCCTAAGGGGATGGCTAAAGGTTGTGATTCATTTTTGGTCACAAACCCTATCTATGCAGATGACATCCTGCAGCACCTGACAGTGGAATGATAGTGGTCTGGTTTTGGCACAACCCACCCATTCAGCTCTGGGGATGTGAAGATGTAGGAGACGAGAGTCCTCTCCTTTCTCCCCACTGCTGCTCAACAGGCAACAGAGTAGTGGCACTGCAGAAGTCTGCCATGAGATTCACCTTGTAAAAACTAGATGTACCAGTCCAAGTTGGCCACCCTGAACCCCCTCCACAGCCATGAAACAGACAGGGGTGATTCAGCAGACCACCTTGGATACCCACTCCAGGCTGCAGAGGAGGGGTCCATCTTTCCCATTCCTGAAGAGGCAGCAAAAAAGCCTGTTTTAGATGAGCACCTGTCTGGGCTGAGAAGTTCCCCAGAGCAATAAGGGCATCACATCCATGGCTTCTCTCTCAACACAAGAGCCTTGGTGAGCTCACCTGTGTGTCCCAGCGTGCACCCTCCATGAACAAACCGTGGACATAAGCCCCTTCCCGAGGAGGACTGGCAAAATCTTCTCTGTTCTTTTTTGTCACGTCGCATTGCAAGGTCATCTTGTCCAAAGGCCACTCGTTCTTTCGGGCTGTGGACTGCATGATGGCTGTCAGGAAAGACTGGGGATTGAAGAACCCAGCAAGCCACACTGCAGAGGGTAAGGAAAAGTCTCCTGTCCAGGCCTCCAGCTCCTTGATGCGAGTGAGGAGGTCAGCAAACCACGTGCCCAGGCTGGCTGTGGATGGGTAAGCCCTCTTTATCCAGGACTCAGGCACCGTGTCCAAGAATAGGGAATTCTGCAAGTTCTCCATGTCACTTGACATGGTCAGTTCTCCCTGTGTGAGAAAGGGTATAATCAGCACTGACAACTATTTAACCTGAACAAAGCCTGCTTGAAAGCAGAGGCTGAGCTAGTAAGTGTGGAAGAGCATGACACCCTACACAGTCACAAGTGTTCACATAAGGGGAATTTCTTCATGAGTTTTGGGTTTTCATTAACACCTTCTATTGCACATTCCTGCATCCTCATCTTCCCTACTTGAAAAATACTAATTGGAGGAAAAGATGTGTAACAAGGTGACAGTGAGCATGGGTGTCCCTCAGTTGTCCCAGTGTTGTTTCTGTTTTATCTCATTGACTGAAGAACTTTATAGGGTAGATTTTCAGAGGTGTGAAGTTATTCTCACTTACGCTTGCCAGGGCAGGACACTGGAGCCTCTGATGATCTACTCCAAAAGTGTCCAAATGTCCTATCCCCCTCCTCTCCTCCACTTCCCCCCACCTCTCCTCCTCCTTTATTACTTTGCAGTGCAAAGTCTTTGACTTCACATGTTGTCCGCAAATGTAATCACAGTTTCTTTCACAGCAGGGAAACACACACCAAATTAAGATACGATTCAGCCAAGTGAGAGATAAGAGAGATGTTTGTCTTTTCCTTTATCCAGGAATTAACTATTTTTAAAGCTTTTTGAAACCTGTATCAGTTTTGCCCAAGCAGGAGAAGAGCTGGAATATCACTGCATGGCCAAAAAGGGCTTCTGCACAGCTGTTACAGCATCCTTCCTGAACTTCTGGTCCTCTCCAGAGGGTCCTCA